AACACAAATACAGAGCAATGGGGTTTACAAATTCAAAATGAAAGTTAAAATGGAAAAGGTCTATCCAGGGAAAGCAGCCACTGAGTGGTCCACCACCACCTCCCCCCCCACCCAGCCTCCCTTCAGGGATCAGCCTTTCCACTGACCATGCTGAGAGAGGACAGGTCTGGGTCCTCTGTCACCCTGGCGCTCGTCCCCCAGCCACGTAAGAAATGGGAAGCTAGCAACATGCAAAGAAAGTCTTTGGGCAAAGCACAGCACAAAGCAAACCCCTTGGGTCTGAAACCCCTTGTTGGGAGTCTGCCTAGACTTCCCCACTGGACAGCACAGGGCACACGGCCTCCGAGAGAAGGAACACCCCCCTGCCCCCTGAAGGAGAGCCCCAGCCCCGTGCAAAGCTAAGGGCAGAAAGCAAAGCAGCTCACCTGACAAAGAAGGCCAGCAACTGTGACAGCTCTCAAGGTTTTCAGAAAATGGCACAGCTGAATTAAGTAGGACTGACTCGAGACTGGCACTTTCTAGGGAACTAATGACCCCCTCCCCCAGGAGCTGATGGCCCGAGGCGAAGCCAGGGGCCATTAACCCTCACCAGCCAGTAAGCAGGAGTGGGGAGCAGCGCCAGGGGCCAGGGGCCCCCAGCCCGGGCGTGGGCGGAGCGGCCTGACCTGAGGACACTGACAGCCCCGGCCTGCGGCCTGCGCTGCAGTGTGGGTGTCTGCAGGGAGGCTACAGGGAGCCCCAAGGGCGAGCACCCCTACTGGCCCCAGGGGACAGCGGAGGCTCCTGCGGAAGCACGGAGGAGGGAGGACCGACCGCAGCTCTGCCTCGGCCACAGTCCAGCTCGGCCCCCGGGAAAGACCACACAACTGCCAAGGGCCAGCGCCAGGTCTGTTCAGGCACGGGGTCAACGACACCTGTCCCCTGCGGGGGCAGGTGTGGGAGTCGCCCTGACCCGGCCTGCCCGGCTCTTCCGCGTCCCCACGCTGGAAGTGTGTACCCTTCAGACGCTCGGTCCACGGGGAGCTCCTGGGGGAGGGGAAAGAACCCACCTGAGCGCCCCCCGTGCCAGCGCTTGGCCGGTGCCACGCAACACCCCACAGAAGGCGGCCGCGAACTGCACTGATCGTGCGGTTCAATGCGGAGCCACCAGGTGGGGAATGTCCATCCTTACTCTCCGGGAAGCACGCAGAGCTCGGGTCACCCTCCGTCAGGAAATAAGCCTGGGGACCGGCTGCCGGAGGCTGGGGTGTATAGGGGCAACTGCTCATCCCTTCCCACGGGCTGGAAAACCGTGTCCTCCGGGGACGTGGGGGACGCCGGAGCCACCGAGCTCCCAGACGGCTGTGCGCATCCCCGGATCCACCCCCCACCCCCCCACCGCAGCTGGCCGCGGCCCCAGGGAACACATCCCACGTGGAGGAAGCATGTGGCGTGTGCAAGGAACCGTGCACGTCACACACAAGAGAAACACACGCGGCGCAGAAGAGGAACAGGCGTGCCACGCGTGGGAGGAAGCCCGGCGTGCGTGCGGGGGCGGGCCCAGGCCGGGGAAGGAGCCTGCGGCCAGGGCCAGTGACACAGCACAGCACACCCTCCGGCCGCCAGCCTGGGCTCAGGCGCCTTCCCGTGGGGGAGGCTGCAGTGCCACGGGGAAGGGACCCCGCGTCCTGCTCTCTCCCAGGACCACGTGCCGCGGGCCCGGTTCCCCACCCCAGTGGAAGCTCAGCTGCCAGCACAGGTCAGTTAGCTCACTTGTGCATCTGACACACAACATGGTGGGGGGGGGGGCTCATTAACATACAAAGTCAGCATTTGTTGAACGAAGGAGTGCAGACGCACGCCTTCCCCAGAAACAGAAAGGGAAGCACCAGCCTGTCACCCCAATCTTTTGGAGTCACACACCAAATGCCACTGCATGTGAAGCCTGGGAACAGGGCGTCATCGGACTCCTCATTCAGCCTTCCGTTCAGCCGTGGCTACCAGACAAACTGAAGCCAGAGGCTGCAGCCTTCCCTAGCAGCTTGGCTAGGAAGTCCTGAAAGGAGGGGGACAGCAGGTGACACATGGTTCTGCAAGACAGCACCCAAGGAGCCGTCGTAAACCAGCGATTCGGAAAAGGGTTCCAAAGAACTACATCCTCGATGCCATAAAATATAAGTTAAATATACAACTTTTCTGTGCCTACCACTGGAGAGCTAGGTCTCTCTAGGACTGACTATTAAGAACCAAAGTCATTCAGTACAAAAAGGTTTCTTTCCCTAGGTCCAAGGACTGATGCCTGTATTCCGGAAACCAGGGATGTGTGCGCAAGAAACTACCCTGATACCACAGGACACGCAAAGCTACAAACGACGTTTGTCCCAGGATGCCAGTCTCACCCGCCAACCCCGGGGACTCACAACTCACCGGACTGTGCTCCCCAAGAGGTGGTCCCAGAGCCTGCCAGAGATGCACGTGCTGGGGCCCAACCCCAATGTGATTTGGCTCCAAAAAAGGATTTAAGATTAAAGCACTTCATGTCACTTGGGGCTGATCCCTTCTTGGTGTCATAACCAAATGGCATATAATTTTGGCTGAGAAAACCAGGTATAATGTAACCTATTCCCGTAACTTATGAATGCCTTCATTGCCTCATTGGTTTTTAATTCATTTAGCTTTTAATGGAAGCATCCCTCATTAGATAATAATAAAGTGTCCCCTATTCTCATAAAGTTAAAAAGCTGATAACTCCACCAAAAAGGTTAATGGGACAGCCTCGGAATAGAGCGGAACTAAAAAGCAAGTAGGTGAGAAAAGATGCTTGGTGGCCTGGAGACAGAGCCAGCTGGAATTCTCTAACACCTGTCCTGTGACAAATTCCGCACAGTCGACCAGCAGACAGAAGCCACGAGTCTGCCTTCAGACTCCCACCTGGCTCTGTCCCTCCGTCACCGCAGCCCCAGACGGCAGTGTCATTACGCGGGTTCCTCTTTCCCTGCAACATGGCCACTGGAAACTATTTTTGTAAATAAATCACTCGCATCTGACACTTTCCAAAAGTAACACACACACACACACACACACACACATTCAGAAAAATGAAAATCGGAAAGACAATTTACCTCACAAATGCTCAGATCACCCAAAGGTAACCGTGGCTCCAATGTTGAGGCCTTTTGACTAGTTCCCCCCCGGTCTTTTTCTATGTAGAGATTCAGTTTTGTATTTTATCCACTACTTGTCTAATTGAGGTGTAACTGACATAACATTACATTAGGTTCAGGTATTCATAGAAGGATTCGGTATTTGTATCTATTGAAAAATCATCTACTTTCTTACCACCACAGTGATCACACAATATGTATGATTTTGACATTTCACTGAACCGTCTAACGAGTCTTAAATTATGACGCTCATGAGGCGTTTATGACTTCATGAGCGCAGCGCGTGACCTCTGCTCCGCTGCGAGGAACCAGGCTCAGCGGGGTGGAATCATGTGACTCTGCCCCCATCCACCCTCACACGGGCACATTTTGATCGCTCCTAACTGTTTCACAATTATGTGCACCGCTGCAGTGACAGTCCTTGTATATAAAGGACTTTTTCCATGTCTTGGAAAATAAAAAAACATATTATAAAATATAAAAATATGTAAATAATATAAACGCTAATTTGTCAAGCTCTAGATACATGTCACCCAATCAGCTGCCTGATTTCAATGACTGAAAATGATTTTATTTTTTTTTTTTTTAATTTTTTTTTCAACGTTTATTTATTTTTGGGACAGAGAGAGACAGAGCATGAACGGGGGAGGGGCAGGGAGAGAGGGAGACACAGAATCAGAAACAGACTCCAGGCTCCGAGCCATCAGCCCAGAGCCCGACGCGGGGCTCGAACTCACGGACCGCGAGATCGTGACCTGGCTGAAGTCGGACGCTCAACCGACTGCGCCACCCAGGCGCCCCTGAAAATGATTTTAAATGACTATGCCAATTCAAAATCCCTCGTCGAGGCGCTTGGGTGGCGCAGCGTGTTAAGCGTCCGACTTCGGCTCAGGTCACGATCTCACAGTTTGTGGGTTCGAGCCCCGCGGCGGGTTCTGTGCTGACAGCTCGGAGCCTGGAGTCTGCTTCCAGATCCTGCGTCTCCCCCCTCTCTGCCCCTCCCCTGCTCGCACTGTGTTTCTCCCTCTCTTTCTCTCTCAAAAGTAAGTAAAAATTTAAAAATAAATAAATAATAAAATCCCTCATCGATAATATGACAGCGGCTATGTCACTACCCCCTGCCCAGCACCAAATACCCTCCCGCAGCTCTGTTACAGCCACCTCCCCTGTGTGACAGTGGTAACTGGGCGGAGACCCGGCACCATGAGACACGGCCTTTTGCGCATTTCCCAAGGATCCAGGACGGTGCACATCTTCACAACGTCCTCAGCACCTGTGAGGTACAGAAAGTAGACGGCTTGATCCCCATTTTGGTGATGAGGATAATGAAGCCCGGCAAGGTTAATCCGTTCGGTCAGGGTCGCAGGTGGACCGAACGCTGATCTGTGAGGATCCAACACTCCTTCTACAACAGTGGCCACAACAATGGGGGCCACATCTTGCATCTCGTGTCCGCCTGCAGTACGTGGCAGTGAGAGCCCGGAGCTCGAGGTTGAAACGGGACCGTGGCCTCATCCAGGCTCAGCCAGAACGAATGCTGTGAGCACGCGGCAGGGCCGTCCAGGGGCCCGTGTGGAAGCAGGGATGCCAACCACGTGCCCTGGCCTGCTTCTCGACCCCTCACCCGGTGAACCCTGCATCACCACAGCCTAAACCACAGCGGTACCGCCACGGGAGTTTAAGTCATTGAGCTCAATTATTACATTCAGTTGGGTATTTAAATCCCAATGCAAGTTTTATTTTGTTTGTGTGGCATTAATTTTCTCAAATGGTGCTTGAAAAATCAAGAGCAAAATGGTTATAAAACTAAGAATAGGCTTAGTAATTAACATGTATACATTTGTCAAAAATAGTTACCTGATTATCATATTTAAGAGACTGCGTCCCAACCAAAAACCGAATGGCATCTGTTTCTGCAGTCTGAGGTGTCAGAGCACGTGCCTGCAGGGGGGAAGGAAAATGCACACACATTTATGAAGTTAGATGTAACGGTTAGATTAGAAAGCCAGTTACCTCCTGTACCGCCGCTGGAGTATCCATTCATGCAAAGTGTCTGCAAGGCAACTTAGAAATATGTACGGACAGCCTTCAGCTTGTGCCTGCTTTGTGACACAACAATTCCACCTCAGATGTGTATATGGAAACAACTGTAGACGGGCACAAAAAAATAAGCAGTAAAGATGTAAACGGTGTTTTTAATAAAAGCGCAATTTTCAACAGAAATAGATTGGTCGAACAAATCATCCTTTGACAACACAGCAGAAAACGGCTCCCAGCAATGGCAGAGCAGGTGGTTCAAACCACGTCTCCTGCAGAGGAAAACTGTACAAACTAAACGAAATACTCCGAATTTGTTTCAAGGCCCCCGGAAGCCAGCACAGCGATGAGTGAGTGCCAAGGTCTTGGAAATGAGGGAAGGTCAGAGAAGAAAGCCTGACCTCCAGCCCCCTTTCAGCTAGAGGCACCTGTCACTTTGGAAAGTGTGGTGAGCGGCCGATGTGGAGGAGAGTTTGTGACAGGCTCGTGGGGCCGAGGGTACACACACTGAGTACACAGGGAAGAGGTCGGCGAAACACTAAAGTTCTGGGTTGGGATCCCTTGGGGATCAGGCCAGGCGTGAAGGTGGACTAGAATGAGGTCAATCCGGACACACTACGATCTGGGTCATCTTAGTCCTCGATTGGTTTTAAGTGATCTGAGCAGGCTGGTGCTCCTGGGCTGGCCAGATACCTGCCAGAAGTAACAGTAAATCCTCTGGAGGAAGACAGACGTCCAAAGTTTCTACAGTTTTTCTCACAATGTCAAACACTGAATCAAAAATAACTAGTCATACAATGAGTCAAAATCATATGATCAAAAGCCAAACAACAAACAACAGAAAGGGGCCTGTCGAGCATTCAGATGACCAGGTTCTCTGGGAAACAAGCTCTAAAGCATCAAGTTTTATGCACAGATTTTGTGGGAGCATTCTCGGGAACGATGCCATGGAAGGGTGAAGGAAGCAGGACTGTGCAGAGGCAAAGAGGAACCTCAGTGCCACAGGGATACTGGAGCTGGGACAGTCCCTCAGAGTGAAGCCAACATGGCCAGGCCCTTGTGCCACCCAGTCCCCACCCCCATCCAGTAGGCTGTCCCTGGAGAAGGGTGGGACTTCGGTGGGACTTAGGGCAAAGTGACTCTGTTCCACTGAGGGCGAACTCTAAAAGCAGGACCCACTGATTGCTCTCAGCCACCAACAATCCCAGAATCTGCTGGATTTTCTGACAAAGAAATCTGGGCAGTGCACCACAGCAGGAATCACAACACCTGTGATTAATATGCTCAATAATTAAAATTAAGAACTCCAGGTGAAGAATCTGAGGCCTAGAGAGGAAAAGACTGTGTACAACTGGTAAATATTAGTGTTGTGACAAGTACTGCAGGCTTACGAATTCAAACCCAGATCTCTTTCAGCACAACCACTAACTGTGCCTACGTCAAGTCCCTGTTTCCCTGTAGCTCATGCTCGGATGCCGGTGGGAGGCAGAATAGTGGCCCCCAAAAATGTCCGCATCCCAATCCCCAGAACCTGTGCAGAGAGACTTTGCGGGTGCGATTAGGTTAAGGATCTTGAGATGGAGATTATCCTGAATCACCTAGTCACACGGGTCCTTACGAGCAGAAAGCCCTCCCTGGATGTCGTCAGACGGATGCGTCACAGAAGGGAGAACCGGAGAGGTGGCGGCACGAGGGGCGCAGGAAGCCTGCAAGGGCTGCAGACGGCTGGCAGCACGTGGGCAGCAGCCGCTGCAGGCTCTGGGGATGGAAGGAGCCCACGGAGCAGGGAGCACAGGAGCCTCCAGAAGCTGGAAGAAGCAAGGTCACAGACTCTCCCGAGCCTCCAGGAAGCAGTGCAGCCATACCAAGGCCTTGATTTTAGCCCAGTGAGGCCCCTGTTGGGCCCCTGAGCCATAAGGCAGAAAGAGCTGTTCCTCTGAACCATTGAGCTGGTGCTGACTCGTTACGGCAGCAACAGGAAACTGATTCACTACGTGGGCCACACACGGTTCACTACATGGGCCACCGTCCACACGCGGCTAGAAACAGACGTGACGCCCCACTCCCTCCTCTGTCACATCTAATCCCTGAATTTCTTGATTCATTCTTTTTATTTTTATTTTTTTTTTTAATTTTTTTTTTCAACGTTTATTTATTTTTGGGACAGAGAGAGACAGAGCATGAACGGGGGAGGAGCAGAGAGAGAGGGAGACACAGAATCGGAAACAGGCTCCAGGCTCTGAGCCATCAGCCAGAGCCTGATGCGGGGCTCGAACTCACGGACCGCGAGATCGTGACCTGGCTGAAGTCGGACGCTTAACCGACTGCGCCACCCAGGCGCCCCTGATTCATTCTTTTTAAAACGAGGTAAGAGAAACACGGAAACCATTGTCCTGACCACCCAGTCTGTCTGGTTTTGATTTGGTCTCTGAGTATTGGTCACCCAAAGGCTTGGTGACAATTTCACGTCATGCTCCGTAGCACCTCTGTCCCCACCCCTCCTCACAAAGGCTTCCTGGCACAAAAACATCAACTACCAAAACACATTCCAGTAACACCAAGAAAATACACGTGCAAAGCAGCATTCACATTATTAGACATCCGGAGGGAAAAGTCTATTCTGGCCAATATGCCTACAACTTCTTCAGCAAAACCGGACTGGACAATTTTTGGAGTCTTACACAGATCTCTGTGCAAAACTGATGAACTCTTTGTGAATCTATATACCTTCTGCCAAAAATGTACATACAAGTAAATTCTGCACATAACATCAGCAAATTCAGACCCTCCAAATCCTAGCTAATTTAAACACCACGCAGAGGAAAAGGATTCTCGTGAGGAAGCGTCCACGCCATCACAGAGAGACAAAACCTCACCTTCTCCGAAGGCAGAACCCTGACTCAACAGAGGGGACGCAGACCTGGGTCCAGCTTCAGACAAGAACGCTACATCTCAAACGGAGGTACATGTCATCACCCCAGAGAGAAAAAGCCTGAAGATCCCCCAAAACAGGACCCAGAAGCGGACCCAGCTGAAAGGAAATGATTATTTTCCATTAAGACACTCGTCTATGCTTCGAGTTGGTAATCACGAGTTGACTACATGACATTTGTGCAGCTGCCGTGGAAGGTCCCACAGAGGGCAGGACATCGGCCCTGCCCTCAGGGCACAGACTTGCAGGGCGAGACGAGCTCGGACAGAGCAGGTGGAAAACGACCGTGTGACTCAGCCACAGGCACACACCGCACGGGAGCAAAGTAACACTCGCCAGAGCGCACCCATGCACTCAACTTCAGGTGGAAGGCAGGATCAAATGCCACCACCTTAGAGGAGAAGAAAGCCAGAAGGAAGGAAGCTGTCTCAGGCTGCTGGTCTGGAAAACAGGGCAGTCCGCGGCCACGGAGGCTGCTGGGTGCCCGTGGTGAGCCAGCACGCGGTCAGCCTCGTGCCCCAGCAGTTCGGGCCCCAGACCCGCACACCTGCGCAGAGACCATGGGAAACACGCAAAAAAGTAAAGTCCACAAGATCATCTGCTTTGCCACAGTTTTGGAAAAGCACTACAAATCTGACACTACGCATTCTGTCACCCACAATAAGACGCTGCTTTTTTAAAAAACTGAAGGGCCGAATTATTCTTGTTAAAAAAAAAAAAAGTCTGAACCGAATCTTTAAAAATTACGGCAAAATCTCAAAAACAGTTCATCTAAGATCCTTCCATTACATTACTGGGTAAAATTATGATCATAACTTAGCTCCGGCCATTCGGGTGACAGATGTGTATGTGTCCGTAATTCTGGTCCTTTGATGAAGTGAGTGATGAAATGACCTTCCGAGGCTAGTCGTTAATGATGGTTCTGAGGTGCTCCAATGACCTTGTTATGAGAAGATCAGATTTTAGGGTATAAAAGGTCACAACACATCTGCACATATCGTAGCCTGATTCACCTTCATAATTCAATGAAGTAGACCCAAAGTCAAGATAGATAATGTAACTCCTACTCGGGAGATAAAGACACCGAGGACCAGAGAGGTTACGGGACTTAGTCACGGTCACAAAGCTCCTAGAGGAGGCACGACACGCACTCCCACGCTTGACTCTGCTTCTCTCTGTTACGGGGACGCAGGGACCCGGCCACACAGGTAAGAGATTTATCTATGGGACTGAAGTTGGAGCCTGGGTCACCCTGTTCTCAAAAGCAAGGCCACAGCCCTTTCCTCACGCGGCCTTCTCTCCGAAGGCCGCTGAGGGAGCCAACCCCGGACGAGGCAACCAGAGACGCCGAGAAGGGCTGGGGAAGGGGCGTCGGAAGCGTCAGGAAAGCCCCTCTGCGTTACGGGAACCACAAACCTCACGACCTTCCAGGAGTCCCTGAGTCCATAAACCCCCCCTGGGAAATTCAGAACTGTTTTCCTCTTCTCACTAGTCTGAGCAAGCAAACGCTCACTCTGGGTGAACCCCCCGCCAAGAAGAGCCACCCCCAGGTAAGCGCAGGGCCACCCCTGAAGGCCAGCGGCGGAGCAGGACTTTGCTCTAAGAGGGGGGACCCAGGGCGGGTTGACCCCTCTACCCTGAGCAGTCTCCCCGCCCCAGAAAAGGCCTCTTTCCCAAGAGTGGCCCCCAGGTCAGGGGGGTGACAGACCAGGAAGCTAGAGGTGACCGGACACGTGTCTCCACGGCAGACCGCCTTCCACACATAAAAGAAAGCAAGGCCCCAACGTCTCGCTCAGTGCTCAACACCCACTTCTCGTCTCCTGCGCCCGGATCGCCGCGCCGGGCCCCCGGGCCACGAGAGCACTGCGCCTCACGAGCTACCAGATAACCGTGGCGACGACACCGCCCCTGGGGACCACGGGGCCGCAGCGCACAGTCAGGCGCACGCTCACTCACACGCTCGCCCCCGTACGTGCGAAGGCCGGCCTCTCGGCTCCGCTCCGCCAGGGGCTGCCGCCCGCCCCGCGCCCACCCTGCTTTGCCCTGCCGGCTCCGCTCCAGGCCCCGGTGCAGCCCGGCCCCCTCCTTCAGCAAACTCGACTCACGCTTGAGGCAACACGGAAACCATCGGCCGGCCTCCCGGAGACGCCGCCCCTGCCCGCCTGCCCGCCTGCCCGGGAGAAGGGGCGCCCCCTGCCTGCCTCACCACAGGAGGGGCGCCCCGCCCTCCCGCAGCACACGACATTGGTCAGCCCTCTTTCTTCTCTTCCCTCTCCTCTTCTCTGGCTTCTTCCCCTTAGCTGGGAAAATCAAGTCACACGTCCCCTTGTCCTTTGAAAATACCTTGCCTTGACCCATCTACCTTCGTTCTTGCATTCACGGCAAGTTTAATGGTGGTGTAGACAGGATAGGCCTTCCTCGGCTCTGACCCTTCCTCCCTCCCGATAACCCGGCCTCACCAAGCCACTCCGCAGCACTGCCCTCCTAGGGCCCCCCGCGTCACGGCCACCAGACGCTCCGATGCAGGACCCCTCGGTCCCCTGGCCCCCCAGGACCCAGGAGGTCACCACCCGCCCTGTCTTCTCCCCATCCTCCCTTCTCACGCTGGGGCTCTGTGCCCACGGTTCCGTGCACACTCTTCCCGGCCCCGCGGCCTTCCCTTTCCCACGAGCATCGTCGCTGTAACCAGGCCGGTGATCTCGCCTCACTGAGCAGGTGCACAGGGGCACATCTGGCCCGAGGCCAGTCCCCAGCAGCGCCTGACGCCCTCTGCCTGGCAGGCCTACCAGCCCCGACCTCCCGAGTCCACACCCGCCCTCCCTGCTCAACATTCACACCCCACCCCTCCCCGCTCCTTGCTTAATCTACCTTTTCACAACCTCTGAAGCCGCTTTTCCGCCAGGAGCCCTTTTACTGCAGCTCACCCTCCACGTGCCTCCTCGTCAAGTCGACCCGGGACGGCGGGTCCTCCAGCAAGAGGCTTCGGGCTTCAGTCCCCCTTCCGGACCCCAGGGAATCACACGAAAGCCAGAAAGAAACGGGAACAGCAAGTGACCACAGAGCCACAGCCGGTGTGCAGAGAGGACCGGGCAAGGTGGACACGCTCAAGCCACCTCGGGCCTGAGGACCGAAGGGAAGCTCCCGGGGCGCCTGCGTGCAGTGGGGTAACAGAGCAAACCCCTAGAAGCAAATACACAGAACATTGCACTAAAAACGTCCCTGAGAAAGCTCTACATAAAATATCAAACGGAACCCAGCAGAGGACTATCTCGCGACCAAGTGGAATTTGGTCCCAGAATGCCAGGGTGGCCCTACAATTTGAAAGTCAGTGATTTAAGAGACCAAAGAGACCAAAAGGGAAAACTCATATGTCACATGGTCCGTTCCACAGACATGACAAGCGTTTGAAAACCTCAAATAGCCACCTTCGACTCTAAAGCTCCTAATGGGTAAGACCGAGAGCCCTGCGGCCACGAGCCTGACGCCCAGGGACTTCCTGACCCGACGGAAGCAGCCCCAAGTGCTGACCGGCCCGGCCCTGCAAAGGCAGCAGCCCCAGCCCGCTGTCCCGGCTGTGCCCACCACGGGGCTCCCGGAGAACCTGCCGGCACAGGTGCCGCGAAGCCAGCCTCACTCACCCCTGCTTGTGTGGCTCCAGGCTCTGCAGGGCGGCTGACTAGTGCGGTGGCAAAGCCAGGGAAAGTGACCGAAAGGACCCCGCGCCACCTTCGCACAAGTTCTCATCCCCACACGGCCCCTCCTGGCCGAGCTCAGCTGGTGAACGCGTAAGGAGGGCAGCACCCAGCTTAAACGGGAGCCACGGGACATGGCCCGCCCCCCCCCCCCCCCCGTCCACATCTCCTCCATGGCGCCCGCGGTGCCCCTCATTCATGCCTTGCCTACCTCTGCTACCCAAGTGTGTGCCATGCCACCGCTGGCTGGAGTCGCCCCTCCAGCGGGGCACAGCGGTCACTGGCCCCCACAACTAGAGAATGTCTGGGGCGCCTGGTGGCTCAGTCAGTTAAGCATCCACCTCCTGGTTTCAGCTCAGGTCATGATCTCACAGTTCGTGGGATCGAGCCCCACGTCCGGCTCTGCACTGACAGCACAGCCTGTTTGGGATTCTCTCTCTCCCTCTCTGTGCCCCTACCCTGCTGGAGCACACACTGCCTCTCTCAAAATAAATAAATAGGCTTAAAAAAAAAAAAAAAGAAAAAGAAAAACCAGAGAAGGTCTTCTTAACTCAAAAGTTTCAAAGAAGTAAGCATGCAGGAGAGAAACAATCTTGTTTGTAGAGACGTTTGAAATAGTCGTGAAGAACCACTGTTCTGTTAGCTGTGAACGGCGGGTTAAACTCAAGCTCAAAAAGTTGATTTCTCCTGCCCAGTGCACTAAGAGTGTGTGTGAGGGCATCTCGAGTCCCGTTTACACTCTAAAAAGTTCAAACAGTGCTGGAGAGACATCAACAACAAAAATCACAATCACTGGTAAAGATTAACATATACGATATTCTAATATGCAGCAAATGTGCAAAATGGAACTGTGAGATGGCCCTGTGCTAAGGTGTGTCACTGTGAAAATGCAGTGTCTTTGTGCTGAGTTTGGGAGCGGCCAATCCACTTACCATGTGACCACAGTTATTTTATGTCCTGTAAAATAACTCTCCTCCCTTTCAGGAAAGAGCTCGAAAGCCCACCCGAGAAACGGTAGTTTATTACTTGTCTCATTAACGTCAACAGACTCCAATCATCACCTTGCAGAGCAAATTTGACAGGAATAGCACGCCTGGACCATCTAGGCTACAGTAACAGAAACACAAGCACAAGGGGTCCCTGGGGGGCTCAGTCGGTTGAACGTCCGACTTCCGCTCAGGTCATGATCTCACAGTTTGTGGGTTCTGGCCCCGTGTTGGGCTCTGTGCTGACGGCTCAGAGCCTGGAACCTGCTTCGGATTCTGCCTCTCTGTCCCTGCCCCGCTCACGCTCTCTCTCTCTCTCTCAAAAATTAAAAAAAAAAACATTAAAAAAAATGTTTTAAATTTTTTTTTTCAACGTTTATTTATTTTTGGGACAGAGAGAGACAGAGCATGAACGGGGGAGGGGCAGAGAGAGAGGGAGACACAGAATCAGAAACAGGCTCCAGGCTCTGAGCCATCAGCCAGAGCCCGACGCGGGGCTCGAACTCCCGGACCGCGAGATCGTGACCTGGCTGAAGTCGGACGCTTAACCGACTGCGCCACCCAGGCGCCCCTAAAAAAATGTTTTAAAGAAAAGAAAAAAACCAGGAGGACAAAACGATGCAAGACCGGGAAGTGGAGCGCCCGGATAGGAAACCAGCGTTTCTCAGGTACGTAGCTAGCGAGTGCAACACTAAGCGGGCAATTTGGGATATTTACGCATACAAAAATCAGGTGTTAAACCTAAAACTCACATTGGTCCTGCAAACATTCTGAAAAGCTGGGTAAACAAGTCTTTATATAATAAATACAAGTCTTCATATCTTTATTTCAATGTTCTATGTATCTTAAGTTCAATGGCTTAAGTTCTTTCTACATTCGCTAATGACCTGTCGATGTGAACTCACAGGGTGACGAGTCCCTAGACTGTCCAGTCCAATCTTCTGCCCGATGCAAGAATGCTCTCGAGGCACTGTTCATAAACCCCAAATAGACACACTCCTCAAAAACCAGGTTCTGACCACCGAGTACCACAAATAAATTCCATACTTTTCGCAGGGAAGTCAAGGACGCCTCCTGCCCGATCCCATCAAAATCTCATTTACTCTTTCCCTTTTAGCTCCACTGTCACATCACCCAGAAGGACACATCAACTTCGGTACACAAACCAATCGCCCAGGCAGCCCAAGGAAATGCAGATTCTGATTCTCCAGGTCTGTCTCTGGTGACAGGACAGCTGCCGGTCGGGCGAGGGCACTCTGAGTTGCAAGGATCTACACAGCCTTCCTGACTCTGCCCGTCAGAACTACCCGGTCTTGGTGGTATCAGAATCTGTTTCACTTTACAGAATAGATTTCAAAAGCCAGACCGTCCCACCTCTTATGCCAGACCTTGTACCAACAGCTCAGGAGGGAACAGAGCTAAATTAGTATTAATCCAAACAGTTACAAAGCAGGATGTTAACTGCAACCCTCAGGACCGCCACGCTGCAGAATTCTCGGGGGCAGGGAGCGGGGGGCAGGCTCCTACCCCCCACCGAGGCAGCTCTTCCTTGCCCGGAAAAATGGGGGCAGGTACAACTTTTCTGGCAGGTTCTCCGGCCAGAGTCTAGGACTGGAGAGCACGCCAGGAGATGAAAACGCCCTTCTCCTTCCCTGCGCCGTCCCACACCCCCTCCCCAAATCTGTGGGCTTGGTCACATACAACCTCACCAGAGCCAAGGAGGAAAAAGAACTGAGGGGACGAAGTAAGGAAGTGAGAAGGAGCCATAATTAGGACACGAGGCGAGGACAAGGATGCCTGAGGTTCGGGAGGATCCTACGGCCACGAGCCCAGAGCGATGTGCACCCAAGTACTCAAAACACGGCAAACACAGGTCCTGCTTGAGGAAAATTTAGCTGTAGAAATACATGCATGTATCTGTACAAGATACCTGTACACACAGAAGGTATATATGTACACAAATTCTACACGTACACGTGTACATACGTATAGATCCCATCCGAGCCACAGCACTTGAGAAAGAAAAAAAATCAAGAAGACAAAAGCAAGCGCGTGAGTGAGCTGGAACAACAACAACAAAAAAACGGGTGTGGGGTTCCTAACTCCACAACACAAGCAATAACAAAAACCAATCATCAAAATTGGCTCCAAATTGAGGCTAAATCGGTGGTCCGCTTGGCTGCGCCCTCTAGGCTTCTACCGAGCCTTGCTGTTTCCCAGGAAAACATTCTCCCGTATCCCCCTTAACTACAGAAGCCAAAGTATGACCTTTGGTTGAAGACCAACCCTAAGTCAGGCCCCTGATTCCCATCACCAGACCTACGCGTGGCTCTACACGGTGTGGCCTGGACACAGGCAGCGGCCTTGGGTCACAAGCAGTTCACAGGCCCTGTGGACACGGCCTCGCTCCCACCTGCCCATCACCTTGATTGACTCAGTGGCTTAGCAAATAGGTACCACGCACCTGCTAGGGGGCGAAAGAGAAGTAAGAAATAGCCCTGCTGTCCACTGGGAGGAAGGAGAAGTCTGCACTTGACCATTGGCCTCTGACAGCAGCGGTGTCATAACCGAGGGCCTGACACGGGGGAACCGAG